GCCATTTTATTTGACAATTAAATTAGCGATTCCTGTCTCAAAACGCTATTCTGTAATTTGTCCTGGTGCTCCTTTGTCCAGTCAAACTCTTGTGCGTACAGCTGCGGGTGTAAGAGGCTAAAATGATCAAACCGAGGCTATTGCTTTATTTTCATGAGAAGAAGAGGGTCACTGGAAAGGATTATAATGCTGGGGAAAGTGAAGGGGGCAGTAGGAAAAGAGGGAAATCTAGAGATGAGATGAAGCGACTCTGTAAAGGAATCCATGGTCCTTAGTTTGGATGATATAAGCAGGGCTGTTAATGATGCAACCTATTCGGGGTGATGAACTCATAGGATTGCCAGACGTGGCAGGAGACTCAGTGGCACTTAAGAAGGAATTCTTGGAGAAAAAACTACTTTCTCCATATTTGTAATTTGAATTACCTCCTCCCCCACTCACTATGAATTCAGTCAGTCCACTGATCCCTATGCCGTGTTTTCAGAGAATTGTTCGCAGTAATAGGTACCCATTCAGCGAACCTCTGCTTGATTTGGGAAAACGTTTAAATCCAATTTATTGATGAACTCGTGACGGTTGCTGAATACGCTGGTTAGAAAAGATACGTGGCCTCTTGTTTTTGGTGGGTTAAGCCAGGTTGTTTGCGATGTGATGCATGTGTGGTCTCTCCTCTCCGATGGCTGAAGAAGAGGGGCTCCTGGAGAAGGAAGGAGGCTATCATTTCTTCCCCCTCCCCCCCCCTTTTTTTGAATGTTTGCAAAGAGGGACAAATTGTATGTTTGCTCTTGAGAGGCCAAGACAAAGAGAGGTCAGGAGAATTCTTTGGGGGGGGTCAGGGTCAGGATGAGAGCGAGTCATGAATGTTCACAGAGATGAGGTCCAGGAAAGGAATGGATGCTTCAGCTACCTAGCCCTGTTCGGGCACCTGATTCCTCCCCCACCCCATGTTGAAAAAGACAATAAGTACTGTATTGGTAAAGAATATTTAAAGTTATTGGTTTGAAGGAGCCCAGGTTACTTGCGCTGGTAGAGGGGAGCACAGCCTCCCCTACCCTGGGGTCCTCTGGATGTTTGGGTTTACAGATCCCATAATCCCCTGTCTCTAGCTGTGCTGGCTGAATATGATGAGGGATTATGTCTGAAATATCAGGAAGGCCTCCATTTAGGGAGGGCTCGGCTCATTTCTAGCTGCCGGTCACCTTACAGTCTTCCCCTGTTTCCAGGGCCTGGGGGGGTGTGCGCACACCTCCCTAGTGGGAGTTTTAAAATCCACTTTAAATCACACGCTATAAACTAAACAGAGAAACCAGCTCTGGTTTGTTTACGCAGTCACAACAAAATAAACCAATATGCAGCATACAACTGTGGGTAAATAATCATTACACACAAACAAAAGTATCACATTCATTGTGTGCCTGAAGATGTTGTTTATATCAGTGAAAGTTCTCTGGAACAATGCTGTCTTAAAGTTGCTGCAGTGTTTGTGTTTTTGTTGGTTTTGTTTTGTTGTTCTTGCTCTCGTGGACACAGAAACAAACGGTCCTACCTGCCTCTCCCGACCACTGTAAAATAACCCCTGGGAAGAAGCCGGTGTGCGCCTTCCGTGTGCCGGCTTCTGGCGCGTCTGTCTCCCGCTTACTGCCCTCCTTTGGCCTGCTCTTGCTGCTAGAAGGAAGCTTTTGAGGGTGTGAACTCGCATTTTGAATGGACCCCCATGGCATTGTTTAATTCCTCTCTTTCTGAACTTCTGATTTGCCTTATTTAGGGGAAGATGGTGGCCTCGGGTTGCCTTCCTTCCTTTCCCCGAAAGGTGGCTGTTGACCTCTGCCATAGAGAGCTGTTCACAATTTTTTAAAAAAGAAAACCTGTCCCTTCTAAATGGGACATACAGGCCAGCGTGACTTGGAGGAGGGTCCATCACGCCATTTTTCAAACCAAACACTAAACCATTGCTCTAATGGAGCGGTGTATAAATGATTGAAATAAATGGAATAAATAAAATAAATCAAAGGACGTACATTGGACCAGGGAGGTCCCAGGTCTAGTCTGTGGGATCTGTATTTCTGTTATCAATCAGGGATCTCCCCATTCCTCCTCCTTTTGTCTCCAGCCGGCTCTGGGCAGGCGAGTCACAGTCATGGTGATTCTGGGAACTGTCGTCGAAGCAGATACTGTGGCAAGGAGTGTTTTTTCTCTCTCTCCCTTTCCTTAAAGGGGCACCAAGGGAGACATTTGGATGAGGATAATTTGAGACTCCGTCTACCTGGCCTCTCCCTGGACTTTATTGCATCATAGACTAGTGGGTGTGTGTGTGTGTGTCATGGTGTACAAGGCTATTTTGTCTTAATTAGCCGGCCTGAGAACAGTCAGGCGTTTTGCGAAGGGAGCCGGCCACTGGCCACTCCGCTCACAGGCCCTGAACATAGATATGGGCAGGTGGAAAGAAGATGGTTTTAAGTGATGCTGAAATTCTGTGAGCTTCCTTGCAGGATGGCATTAAACATCATGATAGGAAACGCTTAATATAGGAGTTACTAGTTAGACGCCAAGGCTGTTCCGGCTTCTTTGTTTCCTCAGCCAGCCATCTTTGTTCGTACCTGACTCGATTGTGCCATCCAGACATTGGGGTAGAATAGGAGAGGTGAGCCCCACGGTTGGGGACCGGACAGAGCATGTGTCCGTGGCAGCGTGGTGCTTCACTTCGTGGTGGGGGTGATTGCTGCAGGTTAGCTGCACCATTGAGGTGCGTGTCCTGTTTTGAGAAATAGGCGTAAGCCCCCCAAACTGTGGGCAGATTGCCCATCCAATGGCATAGCCAGCATTTTAGGCTGGTCCTTATGTCATGGTAACAATCCCTGGCCAGTGGTCATTGTTGGTCTCTGGGGAAACAGTGCACGGAAAAGATCCATGCGGTGGTCCCTCCTTTGCCACAGGGGGACTGTGTGCTTTGTCCGGATAGGGGATTTGTGCCTCTAGAGGCGACTCCTTTGGTTCTCCCAGCCGGGCAGGGCGGTTTGTTCTTGCTGTGTCCACTTGGTGGCCAGACAGCTGGATCAATAGGAGCTGGTGATTTTTGGAAATGAGATCTGCCTGACGGGCCTTGTGCTGGGGGTGGGGGTGGGGTCACTCTCGCTCCAGGAGCAAAAATCACCGGGGTCTGGTCTGGTCCTTGAAACCAAGGACTGCAGAGCCGCCCAGCCTCTTGTGTACAGAAATGGAAGGAGGGACCCCGTTGCGTAGCCTGGTTCCTGATAAAAAGGCTGAAAGAGCAGAGCAGGATCCCTGGGCAGCCAAGGGTGGGTTGGGGAGGGGAGGGGAGCTAACTCTACAAGTGCTTGAACTGCTTTTTGGACAGTCGTGGATAAACATGATGTCTGCCACCAGACTCTTGGACTTACAAAAATCCCAGGAGTGACCCCCACCACCACCCTCCCCACTGATGGGACGGAAAGAAAGCAGAGAACGGTTTCACCTGAGGCCCAGTTTCCTCAGGATTGCTCTCAGTGGCCCCGTGGCCTTCCTTGAAAGCAGCGCTTTGTAGGTCTCCCTCATAAGACAGCCGACTGTCCAGCACATTATCCCTGGATCTGCCGGCATTTCCTTTGTCATTCTGGGACCCTCAGAGAGGGAGCCCCTTCACCTTTCATGCCGTCAAGGGCCGCGTCCCGTGTTTCCTCACTGCGATCCTTGTTGGCTTCTGGGCCATGCTGCTCTTGGTGAGAGCGCACTCCTTCCTTGTGCCTTGGTGTGGCAGGAACTTTGGCAGACCCGCACAGCGGAGTGCGGATGATGACTGGAGGGGGAATGTTCCTGTTAGCTCGTCTGATCTGCCCAAAGAGACATTTGGATGTGTCCGTGTAGGAAGGGCTGGGCTGGGGCTTCGTTCTGGGGGGAGGTTCATTTTAAATGATTCCCGTTTCAGCAAACTGGTTTTATCTTGCCTTAGCCTTCAGTCGGAGTAGCTGCAGGTTAGAAACAACAGAATAAATAAGATCTCATTAAATATCATAGTTGGCTCTAAATCTTGCTCGGGGTCAAGAGAGTGGGGGGAGGGGAGAAAGAGAAAGAACTGAAGTAGCAGCCGGGACCAAACACTCTTGCTAAGGCTCCTTTTAAAAAAAAAAAATTAACAGCCCATGCTATTTAATGGGATAGCGGAGCAGATTCCTTCCGTTTTTATGACCTAGAGGGACAAGTACTTCTCACTTGATTGATTTCCTCTGTTGGGTCCGGGAGGATGAAAAATCAAGTCGAACAAGCCAACAGGCGGCTGTGCAGGTCGCACGGCGAGCGGCCACCTGCTTCCCAGATACCTTTTGTGTATCCTAGTATGTGAGGTCAGAGCCGTGAGAATATCAAGCTGTGAGTCACCAGCCCCAGCTTGTGCTGCCTCAGGAGACGGCTGCCCCAGGTCTCTGTTAATGGGCAGGCCGTCTTTCCCCACGGACGTCACCAAGGTGGTGACTGGCACTTCCTGCAAAAAGCAGCAGGACGCAAGAGTTCTGAAGCTGGATCTGACCAAATGTCCTTTGTATTCCAGCATCCTGTTCCCACAAGGGCCCAGCCTCCGACCGCAGCGAGAAGCCTGCTAGCATAGTGGGCTGCTCCCTGTCTTGTCTGCCCCGGCAGCCGATACTTAGAGCCACACCTGCCCCTCCTAGCCAAGTTGGTCCATAACCACTTGGGCAGGCAGGCTTGGGAGCACGGTGGAAAGAAAAGAAGACAGAAAAGTCATTTTTCATCCTCTAACATTCCGATTCGAGGAGTGCACGCTAACTCCTTTCTAAAAGCCAAAATTAACCCAGAAAACAACCAGTAACATCTCCTCTGTGGTTAAAACCTAACTCACTGGGTTGTGCCCGCTGGATCTCGACTCCTCTGCCTGTCAGGAGGAAAGAGTAGAAAGTTAATCCCTGTCCATCTGCCCGATGAGCTCTGCTGACCAACCTGGGCCTGCGCTTCGCACAAGCACTAACCTTTTTCTGTTCTTCTCTTCCCAGCTGCTTTTCCGCATCGGCTGAACCTCTTTTACCTGGCGAACGATGTCATACAGAACTGCAAAAGAAAAAACGCCATTGTGTTTCGGGACACGTTTGCTGAAGTGCTCCCTGAAGCGGCCGCTTTGGTGAAGTAAGTGGAGTCCTTTTTGCTCTCTTAGGTGGGAGGACAGGACTGTTGATTTAAGAGAGGCCTCTTGGAATGGTCCCTTCCAGTGCAGGAATAGGCATAGCTGTTCCCAGCATGGATTTTCTGCAGATCTTAGCCTTGAGAAAGAAAGCCAGTTGGGAGACCTCTTAAAAATAAAGCTGAAGGTTTTTTTCCCCTTCTCTTTAATTCTGTCACCTTGTGAGTGTCAAGAAGAGAGGACAGGTTCATGCAAGAGGAAATGATTTAAACATCTGTGTGTCTTTTGCAGAGACCCCTCTGTCTCTAAATCTGTAGAAAGGATTTTTAAAATCTGGGAAGACCGGAATGTGTATCCAGAGGAAACCATTACATTACTGAAAGAAGCTTTAAGTGAGTTGTCTTGTTTTTTTCCTACATCTGCGTATGTGTTTGTGTGCGAGAGAGAGAAGTTGAGAAGGTTCTGGGACTGAAAGAATTAAGTTTTACCCTTTAACACTTTATCTGCCTTTCACACACTCAGTTTTCCTTTGCCTTTGTGTGTAGGATCGCATTCTTGTGAACAGAAGTCTCAGAGTGAGATGATGGCATGATTCACCACTTGTTGTGAGATGATGGCATGATTCATTCTGCATTCAGACTGCAGAGTCTAGTTAGGATGCTGGTGATCCTGGATTTTAGAACCTGCAGAAGTTTCTTCCTCTCCTTTTTTAAACTACAACTCCCAGTATCCACGTGCTTGTTCTCTAGGGGATTCTGGGAGCTGTAAATTCAAACAAGGAGCTTTTCCAAGCTCAGCCTGGCTGCACGTTCCACTTGGTTTTCAGAGTGCTGGTGTTTGCTCTGCAGACCTCTGTGACCAGTGCAGACTGTACACGTGATGGGGTGGAAGGATTTCTGCAGATTTCCTGATTAATCCTGAGTTAGATGGGCAAAGAAGGAGGAGGAGAAGTAAAATTGTTTGTGGGGATGGGTTGAGAAAGTGTGACGAGCGCCTTCGGTATTCACTCAGTTGGAGGTAAGTCTGCCGGGCCTTTGGAGGCCCCCCTGACTCACTTTGGGCCTGCGGCTTCCTGTCTGCTCTCTTCAGCCAGCAGCCGAAAGTGGCTTTAAAGCACAGCCAGTCAGCTCCACGGACTCCTTGAGATTGCCAACGACGTCTTTGTCACTTAAAGCCAGATTTAGGGCCCCAGAGATGGAGAGATTGTCCTAGAAATTGTCGGAATCCTCGGCTCCGCCTCCTGCGACTTAACTTGGCAGGCATTTCACAGGTGCCACCTCCGTGTTGGGTTCGTTTGGTTTTGGGTTTTCCCCCCCTCTCCCTTTGCCGCAGAGAGGAAGGGGGAACAGCTTCTGGAGGGAATTCCATAAGATCTAGACGGTAAAAGCACCAAAAGGAAAAAAAAATGAAAATGTTTTCCAGGTTCCAAAACTCAGAAGCAGCAGAAAGAAACTCAGAGCAAACAACCAGCTAAATCATGGAAGAAATCTCAAAGTAAGGACAACCCACATGTGAACTGTCTAAGCTATCTGATATATTAAAACCTCCTTGAGGAACAGAAGGGGTGCAGAAAGACACCTGTGGGAAAAGGCAAACACATACCTGCCCTCAGCATTCTTGGGACCTTGGGCTCCGGGCTCCCGGCGTCCTTTTCTAAATGTGCAAAGGGAGCAGCTGCAGAAAGGGAGGCAGGAGGTCTGAGCGTTCTTTCAAAGGAAAGCAGGCTTCCAGTGGCGAGAGGGGGCCAAGGAGCCTTTAGGGAAGCCGGCTTTAACGATACGGGAAGAGGAAAGCAGAACCAGGAGGGAGACCCGTCAGCGAGCCCACGGCTATGCTGGAAGCCCGTTGATTGAGACTGGAAGCAGAGGAGCCGGGCCTTACTCAAGAGCAGATGAGACGAGGCCGGACAGAGCACCCTTCCCTTGGGCGAGGAAGCAGGTGCAAATCAGAATAAGGCCTTTGGCCTTCTCAGGAGGACAGCTTAACCTGGACCGGCTTTGCCATCCTCAAGTTGTCCTGCGTAACCCATGTGGTGTGTTTGGGGGGACAGTCATGGATAGCTAAGAGAAAGGGGCCCCGACAGAGAGAGAGAGAGAGAGAAGGCTTGGGGTCCCTTGGGTCTGGGCGGAGTGGTCATGGGACTCGGGCTTTGGATCCACCTGAGGAGCGGCTCTCGCCATCAGATAGATGCCCCACCCCTTCTCTCTTGTATTGGACTATAGCTCACAGCATGCCTTGCTCTTGACCCCTTGGGCTGGGGATAATGAGAGTTATAGTCTGGTGCAGCGAGGGGAGGTGCTCTGGGCCCACCTCTGTTCAGGGAGAAGTAGTTATAAGGAATGCTATATTGGACACCAGCTCCTCTTCCACCACCACCCCCATGTTTAGGGCTGCAGCTGTGGCCAGGCTGGCTGGGATGATGGGGTTTGTAGTCAGACAGGAGGTGCAACTGAATGGGTTAGAGGGGGCCAGAACCCATCATCTTCATTTGGTGAAGCAAAAATATGTGTTCTTTCAGAGCCTGGGTGGGATGCTCAGTCATGGAGGGTGAAGGGAAGCCACAGTGATAAGGAGCAGCATAACTGGGCGCATCGGCCTCTCTGTAAAGCATCCATGTTGAAATGGGTGTGTGGGTGTGTATGTATGTGGCTTTCCTTTGGGAGGCTAGGACTCAACCTGGGCTGTGTGTGTGTGCATGGTCACCTCGTGGCTCGGGAGGGGGTTCTGTGCCACCTCCCTGACAGAAAGTCTGTCCCCCTCTGATCTCTGCACAGGGCTGGGGTGTTACAATTTTGCAGCCATTTTTAACAGGCCCTTTTCTGAATCTCTCACTCCTTCATTCCTGCAGCCTCTACGAATCCAAAAGCAGCTCTGAAGTCGAAGATCGTTGCGGAATTCCGAGTAAGTCCAAGAACTGGCTTGCTTGGGTGCCTTCGCCTCCCCTGCAGTGTAAACACGATCACAACATTTGAGTGGCAAAGCTTTACAGAGGGTGAAACCGGCCCCAGGAAACTTGCTGGAAAGATGCACTTTTGGAAAATGTGTGGCGTGCCCATGCTCTGTTTTTTAATCCATCTCTTTCTGCTCCAAAGAGGGGTAGTTTTGGTTGGTCAGTTTTCTGCCCCAAAACCATTTGGGGTGGGGTGGGATTCACATAGACAGAAGCTGCAAAAACGAAACTAGAGAAGAGTTTCACTTCTAGTTTGAAGAACTAGTATTTGTTGGGGTGGGTTACTAAATGGTGTGTGGACCCTTGCAGCCTTTTATAAAAGGCGCAGTGCTGTTCCCGGAAGCCTCCCGGGTGAGAATTTGCCTCTCCCGGCTGCCAACCCACCCCCCCCAACCCCCTGATGTTGGGAGCGGTTTTCTGCTGTGCTTCTCTCTGTCCCCATCAGCCTGTGCCCAGAAACTGGGTTCCATATAGAACATCCCTTCCCCTCCAGTCTGGCCCCCAGTTTCACCAGCACATGCCAAGCAGCTCGTCTGCAGTGAGCCTGCTTCTTTCTCGTTTGTCCAGCCACAGTCCCTCATTGACGAGCTGCTCCTGTACAAGCGTTCGGAGGACCAGATTGAACTGAAAGAGAAGCAGCTCTCCACCATGAGGGTGGACGTGTGCAGCACCGAGACACTAAAGTGCTTAAAAGGTGCGTGGGAAGGAATTTCCGCACGGTGGCGGTGGCCACAGGGTGCCGTGATCGTGGCTTGATACCGGTTTCCTCGCTGCAGCTCTGTGCTGAGCGACCCTGGGGTTTGCCGTTTGGTGGCACTGACTCCACCTGATACGGGGGGCTAGAACGCGCTGCGGGTTCCTAAAGATGCTTGGGTTTTTAATGGACAGACCCAGATAAGTGGTATCTCTGTCCCGGCCAGCTCACATTTCGTGACTCCCGATGGCTTCGCGCATGTCATGGTGTTTTTTGGGGAGGCAGAGGGCCTCAGGGTAGGAAGTCTCTTTCAACCTTCTCTTAATGGGTGCCTTCGTTACTTCTGTTTCCTTGGTCAGACAAAACCGGTGGGAAGAAGTTCTCCAAGGAGTTTGAGGAGGCGAGTGCCAAGCTGGACGAGTTTGTCACCAGCCTGGACAAGCAGCTGAAGAACAGCCCTTCCTTGACGGAGGTGCTTGAGAACGCCAGGATCTTCTACGAAGCCCAGTACAAAGAGGTCAAAGTGGTCGCCAATGTGAGTCTCACAGGGGTGGTCCTGATGTGCTGGGGAAGCGAGCTGGCTGTCAATCCATTCGGCCTGAAAGGCAGGTCGTTTGAAGACCCCTGGGTGGCGGTTCCCCTGGCAGGAGAGAGCGCACGAAGCAGCAGTGCCCTGCGGCCTCCGTCCCCCCCCCCTCTGATGTCTGGCCTGCCCTTGATCGCATCATCTTTCAAGATTGCCTGTGATTAAGGTGGGAAGATGGATTCCTTTTGAAGACCGGGTTGTCCTGGGAGGTTTTTAACACCTAGCATCCCGTAGTGGGAGCTTGTTTTAAGTGAAGCCTTGCCAGTTCAGTGCAGTGGTTGTCCTTCAATAATGTAGGTGGTTCATCCTTTTGTTCTGAGGGTTTCTTACTCTCTTGTGTTTTCTTCGTCAGGCTTACAAAACGTTCGCTAACCGAGTGAACAATCTCAAGAAGAAACTGGATCAGCTCAAGGCCACGCTGCCTGACCCTGAAGAGTCGCCCGTTCCCTCGCCAAGCATCGACGCTCCCTCCCCGACCGGCTCGGAGTCCCCCTTCCCAGGAATGGAAGAAGAGGACAGCTCGCCTTTGCAGGAGGCCAAAAAGGAAAAGTCTCCCTCTCCGGAGCCGGCGACGGACAACCGGGACGTGGAGGATATGGAGCTGTCCGACATGGAGGATGATGCCCCAAAGATTATCGGTAAGTAACAGGGAGCTCCCATCGCAGGGAGTGGACTTGGCCACCAAAGCCTCACGTGAAAATCTAGCAGTTAGTCATTAAGGGATGTCAACTTTTTATTTTTCTTTCACCTGATATGCTCGCACAGGCAAACACAGCTATCTCTTGTAAAACTTCTCTTATTCCAGTAGTTAGAACATTGGATGAGGATGGCGGTGGGATAGGGGTCCAGACTCTCCTACCTCCGGGAGGGGAGGCTGCTTCCTGGCAAGCACGGCCAGCTTGAAAGAGCCCAGGGTTTTCGTGAGTATCCAGTGCAAGGCTGTGCGGAGGTGTTTGGGGCGGCCGGCTGAACTGTCTCCCTCTTGTGTTTTGAACCTTTAGTGGAAGAGAGAAAAGAGAAGCCAGCAACGCCGACGCCGGCTCCTGTCAAGATGGCCGAGAGCCTCCCCAGAGCTTCTCCATCGACAGCCGTCACCTCCGCCGCAGCCCCCACACCAGCACCCCTCGCCCCACCCCCTGTGACCGCTCCCCATGGCAAGAAAAAATGGCAAACCCGGCGCCCCCCCTCCCAGCGTCACCAGCCCTGGCACTGCCCAACCTGGCTAATGTGGATTTGGCGAAGATCAGCTCCATCCTGAGCAGTTTAACTTCGGTGATGAAAAACACGGGTGAGAATGAAGGAGTGGCGTCTGTTCCCCCCCCCCCCC